AGAGAGAGAGAGAGAGAGAGAGAGAGAGAGAGAGAGAGAGAGAGAGAGAGAGAGAGAAGGAGACACGCGGAGAACTAACTCGGAGAACGTTCGCCGCAAACGACAGCGCGACGACGTGCGAAACGGATCGCAGAAGTAGATCTCGTCGCGCGTATTCTTCTCGCCCGTCGACGTCGTTCTTTTCGGAAGCACCCCGCGGATATTTCAGCACGAAGGAACGCGCATTTTGCACAGGCGAGAGGCACGGGGCTGACTCGCGCGACGAGAGATAGCCGTTTGATTTGTGCTCGTCGGGAGTCACACCTGCGAGAGTTTCGTAACGCCGGGACTCGCGATATCAGTTCGCCGCGTGATTCTCCCCGCGAAATCCGTCTCCTCGGCGAAGCGCGGCCCTTCGGGAGGCTATTGAAAGAAAAAAAAGAAAAAAAGAAAAGCCGAACAAACGATAGTCGGGACTGCGACTGAAAGAGCGCACGTAGAAAAGTCTGGACGAATCGGGCGAGTAATTCGCTACTGATCCATCCGCGTGAAGTTCGCAACCTGTTGTTACGCGAGAGAACCCAGATTAAAGTTTGTTTACACGAAGCCCCGTGCGCGTATTTTGCGCGCGCCGCGCTTCGTGTAACATCATTTCCAACTTAGCCGCTATAAACTCTCTCCACCTTTTTCCATTTTTCAACGCACCAGCGGCCGCGACGCCAGAAATTACTTCGCGAATTATAAAACTACGTGGAGCGGCATGAAAGGCAGGAGGAGAGAGGAAAAAAGTAACGGGGCAGGAGCACCGGGCGAGACAAAGAGCAATCTCCCCCTGGTTCTCTTGATGTCTTGCAATTTTTGCGGAGGACTCGGGCGAGTTACGCGCATTGGATCGCGCAGATAACGAAAGGAGCTCGCGGGCGTTTAAGGGCTGAGGGAGACGGAGGGTGCACACACATCCCCTTAATAAGATTCGTCGCCGGCGCGTCGTCGCACCCCGTGCGACGAGGTAACGTTTGCGCTTCCGCGCGCATCCGGATCCCCGCGGGAAGTCTTCCGTGTCGTATCGTGTCGTGTCGTGTCGAGCTAATGTCGTTCCTCGCGGAACGAAATTAGCGTACCTTGAATATACGGCCGAATAAAGCGAACGTACGACGAGCGTACGATGACGACGACGGCGACAACGACGTGGGCCGTCGTTCTATTTTCGTGCTCGGCGCCCCAGTTGCGTCGATATTATATGAAATTTAAGTGGAAGTCATATTTAAATACGATCGATCGTTATCGCCGATATAAAGTCGCACTGCCGAGGTCGCAGGTCATCTTATATTTCGTTCCCCTCTCCCCGCCTCTCTCACGACTTGAACTTCGCTGACCACAGGGGGGAAAAAAGAAGTCGAATTTCGCGTACATAGCACTAAAAGAAACGTTTGGTTTAATTAGATCAACCAGATTTCTGGTGAAATGTGAACGAATCAGAAGATTCCGGTTGATGTTATCAGACTTTAGGTTTGATCAGAAATCTCGTTAATTTGAATAGTAATGTCTTGTTAACTTGAATAGTAGCGGAAGATTTCGCTGCCCGACATCGTCACTCGATCGGAAAGGACTTCGAAAATTCCTCGTCAAGACACGAGCGGGTTAACACTGCTTACTGTCGGATCTCGCGAGCTTAATTTGCTAATTAGCAATTTTTAATCACGCGATAGTCGAAGCAATAACTCTTGCTAATAGTTCGACCTTGTGGATTAAAATTCTCCGGTGTTTTACTGTGGTTGTCTTAATATTTCAGGCGCGGTCCGGATTAACGGGGAGAAACTTTTCTCTCGCGCGGCAACAGAGAAAAATTCGACCGTCGCTCTCGCGCGTCATATCCCGTCGAACGTGGCCCCGTGTTGAAAATTTAAAAAAAAAATACAAAGAAAATACGGGCGGGGAAAACGGAAAAAAACCGATATCGATGCACGCCGGTGTTTATTGCGCCGGCACTGTTTGGAGTCGCTCGTGTATATGCCGTCGAATAAACTCGATAAAGTCCGAGCCATCCTCTACGGTCATTGCTGCCGCTAGTCGGCCCGAGTCGTTGTACATGGAAATCCAGGCCGCATTATGGATCTACACGTGGATGGCTCGTGTGAGAAACTTCGGCCGGCTGCGGCGCGATCATCGCAAATTCGATAATCGGCTGATAAATACGCAATTTTGCAAACCGCAGAAAGCAGGTCACGTTCGATTCGCGGCATTTGAATCGTAAAGTCGCAATGTGCAATGCTAAATTTGAATTCTGAAGTATCGTATATTCTGTATCCCTTGTTTTGAATTGTTTTCAAAAAAGAGAATTTAAGTCGATTACTTGAATTACTTGATATCCGATTATTGCAGCAATATATTATTCGACATTTTTGAGAAATTCGAGGAGTTTTGATCTTATAAACGTGAACAGACGGGTTGGATCCGATCCGTGAAGCAACGCGCACTAAAACGCGACACCTCGCGCGATGTCCTGAGACTTAAGTCCTGCTTTGTAGCTGAATGCTTTGCTCACACTTGCCCGCGCGTTAATTGCACGCGACGCGTGTTCTGCGTGCGGCAATGTATTGCGGCGAATGACAACGGCAGAAGTCTACAGACGACGGCCACGGCCGCATCAATTATTTACAATTACAATCGGTTCTCGAGAGCGCGCGCGCGCGAGAACGCGGCAATTTCTGCGGCCGTTTACGTGCTGCGCGATGTATGTGGCAGCAAATTACGCGACTATCGCGTGCGCGCCTCCGATAGTGACTTATCGGATCCAAATTACGGTAATCCGGATGGTCTCTACTCGGAATTGACACATCTTCGGGAACCATACACTCGATTCCTACACCGAACACGTCGAATGAATCGATGGGCCGCGCCGACGAAAAGCGGGACAGCCTTAACTCCTAGAGATGTGCGAATCAAAGATTTTTAACGTCGAATCGAATCGAATCTCAGATTTTAATTTCGAATTCGAATCGAATCGATAAAATTTCACCCCAATCGAGTCGAATGAAATCGAATCGAATCGTTAAAATTTTTAATTAACATAATCATTGAATTCAACATGAAAATAGTGATTTCAGTAACTAAGAGAGAAATAACATTGATCATATGATATCAATTAATTCATTTTAAGGTAAGAGATATATAATATATAGTCGGTAAGCGTATGAAATACAGTTCCAGCCTTGAAAGTTGCGTAACGACACATACCGACGGTTGTTGGTAATAGTTTATCTAGAAGCTATTCTTTAATATTTCTGAAGAAAATCTTAATGGTATAGTAAACTCTGGTATAGTAAACTTTCCAAGTCATGCTAATTCCCGTAAAGCTGGATGTCTTTAATAGTTCTTCGTTAATGCTAATGTGCGCGATTCGTATTCGAATCTTTTCGATTCGAAATTTTCGAATTATTCGGATTCGAATCATAGAGATTCGAATTTGAATCGAGTCGAATTTCACTTGATTCGATTCGAACAGTTCGCACATCTCTACCAACCCTCTAATGGAATCATTTGTGTGTACTACTCGCGGAGAGGGACACGGCTGCTGCAACATCGTCATTCCGCGCGCCGATATACGAACACCTCACGAAAATTAAGCGTCATCGCCGTCGCCGTCTCGGACAGGGACGACAGGTGACTCCCGCGAATGATCGCGGAAGATCGATCGCGATTGAAAAGGGCCGCGCAAGCACTATTGCTCTTTTTGCAGCAGCGGGAGAAAGTTTTGAAATATCATAATGACAAGGTCAGTTGAAAAGTTTGATTTCCGATGAAAAGCATAACTCGATAACTACAGGCAACGACGCTGACAATATCCCGCTGTTGATGAATAATTTTCGACTTCGGAAAAGAACGCTTGTCATAATGAATATGTGATGAAATAAAACCCGGCTTGCAAATCCTTTTCGCGACTAAGCGATATAATATATATATATATATATATATATATATATATATATATATATATATATATATATATATAATCATAATTATTAAATATATATTAATATATTAATAGATATTAATACACACCAAATAATATGTAATTAATTATAATAATCATTAAATATGTATAATTATATAAAATATAATTATTAGTTAATTATTATGATCATAATTATTATTTAGCTGCTAAAGAATGTTCGCCTTTTTTCGTGATCACGAAAATGCATAAAATATGCAATACATCTCGTAGAGAGATATTTTAGGGAATCCGTGGATAAATTTCGTGAGGAAATAAATCTTAAGGCTCTATAGATAACAACCTAAATTTAGTGAAACTCGTGAAGAAACTTTCGAGAAGTTTTTGACTGACCCGACGTGTTGTCATCATTATCACTTAGCTATCGAACAAAGGTGAAGATGATAACTAAAAGTCCAAGACGCATAATATACACAATGTTTCTCGCGAATGGACTTTAAAGAACTTTGAGGAAGTCGCGACGAGAGTCTGCCCACCGTGTGATCGTTGTAATATCGATTTATGTGTTACTCACCCAGAATCATATCGCGCTCTTGCTTCAACAGGCAATCCAAAAATATATGGAGCATGTGTGTTTGTATACATATATCCGATGTACATATATATTTATATATATATTCAACGTGTATATAGAGGCTCTTAGTATCGGCACGAAGTGTTAATCACAGTCGCAGTAACTCTCTGTTCCTCCCGAAGCGTTGATCGTGCGTGCCATCCAGTCGACGATCCTCGATCGAACATTTGTAACTTCTGCTCAACACTTTGTGTGCGTTAACGTGCGCGTCTCGCCATCGCCCGGCTCGTCAACAAAGAACGTCAACAAAGAACGGGTATGAGAGAGAAATGCGAGAGACGTAGAGATCGGTGCGCGGGAATACGGGAGAGAGCGACGCCACTTAATTGCGCGTAATGGGGAAAAATAAATCAGGAGAGATGACGAGAGAGAGGGAAAAAGAGAGATAGAGAGGGAAGAGAGAGAGAGAGAGGGGTGAGGGAGAAAGGGAACGAGGCGGACAGCAAAGAGTGACGGACTCGATCTTCTCGTGAGCGCGAGACAAATTTCCCATAAATTACGGAAATAACGGAAAACTACCGGTTGTCTCCGCGAGATATATTACGTCTATAAATTACGGTTATCGCGCGGCGCGAAATGGATTCGATCCCTCTGGCCGCGATCTCGCGCTATTATTTACGTTAAAGTTAACTATATTTTAATTATACATCCTCAATGCTCTCTCTCTCTCTCTCTCTCTCTCTCTCTCTCTCTCTCTCTCTCTCTTTGAGAAAACCGAGAGACGTTCTCGGCGACGTTCGCGCGTGTTTTCCGAAATCGCACTGGGATAAATCGAAAGCACTAATCAAAATTCTCCACTCTTGACTGGTTAACAGCCGTGACGAGTACCTGGCCAAGCGTCAGGCGTCTCGGTGTTGGGCTCGAGTTATCGTTCGACTGTAATCCAATACCGGGCTGATATTGGTTGCCAGTGTCAGAGGTCGATATCGAAAATCCGGCATTTAGTGACGACCCGACACAGAGCCGATTGTAAAATCCTATACTGGTTAATCGTTTACAATTACGCGGGCCAATGCACTGTCACTTTCTACCTCCTTTATTCGTACATCCCTTTAGTCGCACATAAACGCACGCATGTCTCTCTCCCTTCCTCTCTCTCTCTCTCTCTCTCTATCTTCTGTCTCTCGTTACGCGAATCGCGGGAAACGCGCAGGAAATCTCGGCAGTGACGAATTTCCTCGCCGATTACTCGCGATAGCCGGCAGCCTCGACCATTCACTCGTGACACATGTCTAGCACGTGCAATTTCCGCGATGTGATCAGACACGGAATTTTCCCTGTTCACACGGAAAAAACATCTAGTTGGATTAACCAAATTTCTAGTGAAATATGAACGAGCCTGAAAATTCCGCCTGAACTTGCCAGAATTCTGCCCAAATTAACTAGAAATCCCGTTGAATTGAACAGAATTCTGACAAAGATTCAATCGGATTTTCTGGCTCTCGTTCACATTTCACCAGAAATTTGGTTAATCCAACCAAACTGTTTTTTTTTGCGCGCATCAGATGTTATCGTGACAAATCGTATTGCAGATCGAATATCAGTTAAAATCTATCGCGCCGCGATATCGGAGATTCTCTCTTTTTTTCACAGTTACCTCTTTAACACGTTCGCTATCACGATTTATTCGGGAAATTCTCTCCGCAAACTACATTACCTTCGTTTTCGAATATTTGTGTAAAGCAATTTACTTTTTCATGGATATATACAAAGAAATGGATATATATAAAGAAAAGTATCGTTCTCATATAAGTGCGAGGTCGGTAGCGGATGTGCTAAGTAAAATCGACAATTTCGAGTAGAGATGAACTTGAAGTGAGGGAGATGGATACGTCACACCTGCGCGACGCTGGTAGCGAGCATGTTAATTCGGTTAAAAGTGCGCTCAACGGCGCACGAACGGAGCGACGAGGGTTAGTTGGTTGGTTGGTCAGCGTGAAATCCGAGGCACCTCTTTTCCACCATAATTCAGAGGGTATCATTTTTGGCACTTAACCGGCGGGCGTTTCACTCTCGCGGAGCCCTCGATCTCGCCCGGACGAAGCCAAAACCGCAAACTCGATACCTTGGCCGTTTATGCAATTCCGCGGCGCGCGTGCCTCTTCGCATTTACAAACGCGTTCGCGTGATTTCGCCGCCACGTGGTGCACGAGAGTAGCAAGAGGAGGAGGAGGAGGAGGAGGAGGAGGTTCGCGGGCCCCTCGATATTTCCAATCCGCTCGGAGTCGGAGTCACGCGGTTTCGCACGTCGCTTCCACGCCGACCGTTAGTGGAAATTCCCTTCGACTTAAATTTCTCAGCTATGTAAATTAATTCCACGAACGCTGCGAACACGTGTCGAGTGCGGAAAAATGCGGCGCATTAACAAAGTTCGTTCGGCATTGCGCGCGATATGAGTGTTTCGCGGTGTACACGCACACTGAAAAATTCATTTAGTTGGGTTAACCAAAATTTGGTTAAAATAGAGTCGAACAAATGTCTCGGTTATGAGGGCCAAAAATTCGTTCTATCAAAGATTTGATTCTCTGAAACTAAACCTGTTTCATTTTTGTTTCAAAGAAAGAATCAAACTTTTAGTTCAAAGTACCAAATATTGGTTCTTACAACCAAAATATTTATTCCACCTTATTTTAACCAAATTTTGGTTAACTCAACTAAATGTTTTTCAGTACGAAAAACAATCGGTTACGATTCAAATTTGTTTCAGAGAAAAAATCTCACTAATTTAACAAAAATACCAGCACCGGCACAAACAGTTCGTCAATATAGTTGACAGCAAATCGTAATTGAGAGAAACACAATTTCTCGCACGGAAAAAATAATTCCATTGATGTAACTGAATTTTCTGTTACGTGGAGAACAGATGAAAAATTTGATCGTGGAAACAGAAAGACTTCCGCAGGAGGTTTCTACTCAGCCGGTCGCTTTCAACTATCTCAACCGAGTTTTAATGCAGCCGAATGTTCAGACGAATGTTTTCGGTCACACAGATTACATGTTACTTCTCGCCGGTGAATTTCTCGCGTCTGCTCCCCATTTATTTACGCGAAATCTTTTTTCCGTGTACTTTCAACTTGCTGCTCTAAGCAACGCTTCTGTAATGGAGACACAATCAACCTAATCTAAATAGACGAGAACAAACGATTGCGATCTGCATCTTAAGCGATATGTATTCGTTAAAGTGACAAACGATGAGAAATGATTTGCGACGCCAACCGGTCAATCTACTTCCCTATGGATCATCAAACAGCGAACGTGCTTTTGCGATGCTGATATCCGAGGGACTTTTCTCTCAGTATGGATCAATTATCTCGATCAATTATCAGTTGAGTTAATTTTTACTTGCGCGCGCATTTAACGCGAGATGGCGAGATCCAATTTCAAAGCGCCTCCTTCCGCGGCGCCCGCGAACCCCCCAAGATGATACGGCGCGATGTGCGTTTTAATTGATAGGTGTGGTGCACTTTTTTAATTAATAGCCGCGGTACATGACATCACCGAGCGAGCGACTGGCCGCGCCGGCGCTGGCAACGGGAAACATTTATCCGTTACGGCGAGCAGTCGTGAGTAGCAGTCGGCATGTAGTAAATTTCCCCGTTAATTGATCGATTCGTTTATACATTAATGGATGCCGACGCGCGCTGCGCTACCGAATCGAATTTATCGTATCGCCGATGCTCTTTCCGATACGCTCGTCCGATATTCCGAATTGCCCTTCCTCCTCTCCCTCCCTGCCGTTCCTGGCTTATGGATCGCCTCGAGAGATCGCCGACATATTTATACCGATCGATAATAAAAGTATTTTATAGCGGTATCATCGTCACGATGAAATAACGACGCTATCGTTGTCACGGTTATATTGACGTGTATACGTACAAATTGCAAATAGATGGAAATCAATTTCCATCGAGATTCAGTGAGAGCGGCACTTCGGTAAATCGCACACGCTGACATGCGCGCTCTATAATGTCGTTCAGGCAGTTTTCCATCACGGATAATCGTTTAACACGTTGAATGCGATAGCACTCATGGACGACAGTCGCGTCAAGTTACCTATCAAGTGTAATTATTAGTATACTAAGAAAAAAGATTATGTAAAAAATAAAAAATATTTCTTCGATGAGTACTAATAGTATGTTTAAGGCTCCTGGTCCCTCGCATGCTCGCAGTCTATCTCTTTTTAATGACGTCAGAAGCGAGAAAATGCATGTTAAAAATTCTTGCAAAATATGTTAAAATAAAAATATATATCCATAAACACTTGCAATCGATTAAACAAATTTGTAAGATATTCCGTGCACTCCCCTTTTGCTCTAACAATCAATAATTTGTCATAAATTAGCATGACATACAATTCATATTCTTCTTAACCTATTTCTTCGCCTATTTCTATTCAGATTAATTTACCATAAATTATTGATTGTTAGAGCAAAAGGGGAGTGCACGGAATATCTTACAAATTTGTTTAATCGATTGCAAGTGTTACTTTATGGATGTATATTTTTATTTTAATGTATTTCGCAAGAATTTTTAGCATGCATTTTCTCGCTTCTGACATTAAAAAGAGATAGACAATGCGAGGGGCTAGCAGCTTTAAGTATTCACGTATTTTTACATTAAGAAATTTCTTCTAAATGAGGAAATATATATTCCTCTAATACATCGTTGCTTTCTTCATGGAATGAAGTTTATTTTTTATTTTGTATCAATTTCATTTTCCATTTAAACGTCCGGAAAATTAAATCGACGAAAGTAACAAGCCGCTGAGGAAAGTCGCCGAGCTAACTTAATTTCCAGCAGCGCGAAATATTCGTCATTTCATACTATCTGATCCTTATTGGCGCTTATCGCGTTTGCGAACGGCGGAAATGAGAAAGCGAGTAAATCGTCACGTGAGATTTTCCACGCGCCACTCTCAACGCGTCTCTCGGTTTCCAGACTGTCGGCAACGACGAAACGGATCTCTGTTTGCCGAACAACATGAGAGAGTAGTAAGGCCGCGCGTCTAGCTCCGTTCGGCCGCGTAAATATTTATTCGAACCTTATTCGTCTCTTACACGCGCATGCTGAAATATTTGCGATAAGAGAGTCAAGCGTGTTCAGCACGACGCCGTGATAAAGGTGCGATTTGCACGACGCTTTCCCTCATGCATTCTCGTTGAGAGAAAAAGTTTTGCTAATTTAACAAGACATACAAATATGGTTCGTTGACGGCAAATGACTCTATAGTGAGAGCAAGTAATTTGTTACTTTCAA